TCATCATATTACATTTTCTTATTTAAAGAGACACTAAAATGAAAACCTTTTTGAGTGCCTCACCGGCCCTCAGCTCTGGGCCTCCTGCACCTGGCGCAGAAGCCATCAGCCTTTAATGGAAGTAACTGGAGACAATTTAGTGCAGGGTCACAGAAACCGTGAGCCCTCTTCATAATGTCACTGCCAAAAATGATGCAGGAAAACATTGCTCATCTGGACCGGGGTGGGGCGTGCAGGGGATCACCTACTGCTCTGCACCCCACCCTCGCAGTGAGGCTGCCCATGCACTCTGGCATTGCCTGAGCCCATGTAGCCTGGTGTGCAGTGGGCAGGCACTGGGGCCCAGCTCCGCGCCCGGCTCTGCCCCTGACACTCGCTCCAGGTTCCAGGGTGTTGATCAAGTCCAACCCATGCCCCCTGCTTCACTGTCAGTGTGGGGTGCACAGGGGCAGGTGATCCCCGGACCCCTGCCAACACCCCAAGCCCGGTCCGGATGAGGAACATCTTCTTGTGTGGTTTTTGACCGTGGCATCCTGAAGAGGGCCACACAGAGGGGAGGCTAACCGAAGAGGGGAGGGTCCTGTTCTTTGTGCGGGGAGAGCTGAGAATGGTCGCCTGGTCATGTTTGCTTTGCTGGCCTGTCTGCCCCCCAGTCGGCCTCTGCACCGAGGCAGCTACCCTGTTTCGACAAGGGGGCTGAGCCCAGCCCCAGCTGACTGGAGAGAATCTCACCGACCCAGGCGGGGACCCCCGCGAGCCGGGGCCCCACCCAGGATTCTGCACTGGAGCCCCCGAGGTGCTGGCCTTGACCCGAGCGATCAGCGTGCGTAGACCTTGGGACCTGAGCTGGGGACGCCTTCGCCGTGCACACAGAAAACTGACAGCCTGGAAAGACCAGAGTGAAGCCAGAGGAGGGGGAGGCAGGCAATCTGCAGGTTCCTGGCAGCCCCGGCTTCCTGGCCGTGTCCCCTTCCTGCACTTCTTTACCTTTAAAGTACCCACCCCCTCCTGCGTGCCCCCTTCTGGCCCGTGGTGGTCGGAGTAGACCTGTTCCTGGCTTCCCATGAGCCTGCCTGGTTGTTCCTAGAACCAGCTCTCCTGGCCCTGTCGAACCTTTTTCTTCTCTCTTCTGGGCTTCGGCACCTTCCCAAGCCTGAGGAAGCCAGGAAGACCCTCCGATGTGGGTCTGGGTCTGTGTTCCGTCCTGCCCCTATCCTCCAGGCCTGCCCCTGGGCCTCAGGCGATGGGGGTGCAGCAGGTCTGGGCACCCACTTTTGTAGAAGATCACAGAGGAAAAAGCTTTTTTTTGTTTTTGTTTTTGTTTTCCTGCATATCCAACCTGGATAAGGACCCAGCTCACAGCTGAGCTCCTCTCTGCTCCTGTGTCTCCCAGAGCCATCTTCTTCTCCTGCTCAGAGACCACCCTGGGGCAGCCCAGCCTCTCCCCACCCACGCCTTGCCCTGCTCCCGGAGGGCCAACTCTGCTCCTTCAAGAACCTAAATGTAAGTCAGAGCACATCACCCCTTCCTCAAAACTTTGCTCTGGCCTTAAAATAAGAAACCGCCTCCTAATTTTGGGCTCCCAGGCCTGATGGGATGGGGCCTTTCCTCCTCACCTCCCCACCCCCCGGCCCCTCCTTCCTTCTGACCTGAGGCCTGTGAATTCGGTGAGGACTGGGACTCTCCTGTGTCCCATGGCCTAGGATGATGTGTGGCTGCACGGTGTGGGCCCCTTGGCCTGCAGGGGTGATGTCAGGATGGAATCAATAGCATCAAGGGACACTCCAGTGTGCCCTTGACCCGATGCCCCTGAGAGAAGGTGTATGGGGCTGGGGCTGGGGCAGAGGGGGAGGTGGGCCGAGGGACCCCTTGCTGGCTGAGTTCCCATTCATACCTGGAGACCTTGATGCTCTGGGGAGTGACACAGGGCTGGGACCTTGGGACAGTGAGTGCGGCCCTGGGCGTCCAGCCCAGGTAGGACCAGAAGAGCCGAGAAGTGTGAGCACAGCCCTGCCCGGAACCGCGTGTGGCCGTGCTTTGGGCCAGGCAACCGGGCAGGCAGCCTGATGGCTGACACCTGGGTTGGGGTATCTATCCAGGGAAGTGGCTACATCCAACCGATGAAATTGTAGAGTTAAAATGTCCAAACCTAAAGGGGGTGTGTGTCTTTTCTGTATTCACATTTAGATTTATTATAGAAGTAAAAACAACAAGCCCATCATTGCCAGCTGCCTTTGTGGGGAGGGGCTCTTCCCACTGGTGTCGAAAATGAGGCCAGGACAGTGGGCATCACAGCCCGAGGAGGGGTGCAGGCACCCAGAAGTCTCCCCAGCCTGGGAGAGGCCTGGATACAGGATGGCCTCTGGCTCCTGACCTTTGCTGGGCTCCATCCTATCTGCTCCCCTGGGTGAGGTGTTCCCTGGGCCCAGCCCAAAGCCAGGTCTCTACCCTGCCCCGCGAACCCCTGAAGCTGCTGATGGGCCACATCCCTATGGCCAGTGTCACGCCCCAATCTGCAGCCCCCCCCATGCCGTCCACTCACATGTGAAGGGAAATCACACAAACGTGGCAGGGCAGGGCTCGTGGAGGGCCCTGCCACGCCCGCCTGGCTGGAGCGCATCTCCCCGGGGTGATGAAGCTGGAGTCCCAGCTCAGACCTCCCTGATCTCGGAGTCCACCGAGCTGGGCCTGTCCCCCTGGGTGTGGATGGGGGTGGTCGAAGGCACCTGCTGGGCCCGGGGAGACAGGCCCCTGTGTCACTGATATTCAGGGCCGGAGGCAGCATTTGGCTCTAGGAGGCGGGGACAGAGAGCCTTGTCACTTTACCATAAAGCAGACATCAGGACAGGTTTGTGGCTCCCAGGCTGGGCGCTTCCTGGCATGGGGAGAGGAGCCCGGCCGCCTGGTGCTTCCCGAGCGCCCTCTGCTGGTGGCCTTGGGGGACTGCACAACTGGCTGGGGGGGCAGGGAGGACCCGGAGCTCAGGCCTTTGCTGTCTGGTCCTTGGCGTGGCCTGCCCAGTGGCCTGGTGGGGCTGACGATCCCGTGGGAGGACGCCGGAATCCAATATTCACAGAGAGCTGGGACTTAGCTGAGAACCCATTCATTGTAACTCAAAGACTGGCATCAAATTTATTATTATCGTTTGTTAAATATTTTAGATCTTTTCAGAACACATGGTCTACAAGGCTGTGGTGGGTTTTCTTCCCAGTACATTTTAGCGGGTGCAGTCATGTGACGGGGGGGAGGGGACGTAAACAGGTGGTATGCATGTAGGGAGGGCCCTGGGGGGGGCGCCCCTGCACCTGCATCATGGGCCTTGGTCCTCTGGGTGAGAACAGCCTCTGGACTTCCACCAGCTAAACCTGAGAACTATGTCTCCCGGTCAGGTGACATCAGAGGAGGAGGGCCACTGGGGACAGCGAGGAGTGCAGAGACACGTGTGTTCGACGTATCTTAAAGGCACACTACACAGGGGCGGTGGGGGGAGGGGCTGTTCTGCCGGGCAAGCCCCTGCTCGCTGAACGACCGCCTGTCCTGCAAGCGTCTCGTGGGGTGGGGGTGGGATGTCCATCTCCACGGTGCTAACTGGAGAAGGGTCCCTCTCCGGCTGGGGGTAGGGGTGGCTGGGCAGTGGGTGCTGGAATGGGGGGCCCTGGGCAGAACAGCTCCAGCCTGCAGGGGGCTCTTGCCCACTCTCCTGGGAGGCCAGAGGCTTGATCTGCCGGGGCGCCGACATCAGGCACAGACCGGGGGGGATGAACACAGGGGCCCCCTGGGGCCACCAGAACATCTGCTGACAGCCTCCTGGCACACGTGGTGGCTCCTCTGGGCCAGCACCAAAGACCTTCCTCAGTGGGTCCCGTGGTGTTTGCTTCTCAAAAGGCCATTCACAGCTTGGAAGCTGGCTTTGGGTGGCAGATCCCAGCCTCTGAGGGAAGAACCGGCCATTTCTCAAACTGGGCTGTTCTGGACCATTAGCTGCTTCTTCCAGTTTTGGGCCAGGCAGGTGGGGCCACAGTGGCCTGTCCTATGTCGGCACCTGCCTGGGGGTCAGAGGCGAGAATCATCTAGATTCAGAAAGACCTTCCCTGGGCTCCCCTCAGATTAACGTCTTGAAAAGTGAATTCTTCACAGCAGCTCCAAGAGTCTCTGAAGTTCTAATGAAAATGCATCTGTTGAATAGTTGTCAACACCCAGGGGTAGGTACACCGTGACGCCTGGCCCAGCAGAGACCACGGCCCCTGGGAGGGTGAGCTGTTTGGCCGGGCTCTGGAGAGGACACCCCATCCCCCCCAACTCCTTATCTGTCATTTGAGATGGAAATATGGTGCCCTCTCTCTGCCTTGGAGAGCCAAGAAAGCCATTCCCACGGGAATGAGTGGGGATAGTGGGGTGGGATCTGGGGACCGAAGCTCAAGTCTGGCTTCGCGTCCAACACTGTGACTCTCAGACCCTCAGAGTCCTCCTCAGAAAATGGGGATCATGCCCCCACCCACCATGGTGGGAGGAGGCAATCCAGACCGGCCCCGTGGGTATGGGGCTGCATGGAATCTGAATTTCAAGGGAAGAAGGCCCTGGGGGATCGTCAGGGTGGCCTGGCGGGGCAGGTGTGGTGATGGAGTCTGGGGAGCCCTGGAGCCTGGGTCTTGATCTTCCTAACTAGGGAGGAGGAAACATGTGCTGACCAAGCTGAGGGAGAGGAGTACCCAGCCCTCTGCTCGCCTCCAGGCACGGCCCCCACCAGCTGTCAGACCCGGGGGCTCGGGGGCCTTGCCCGGGGCTGCTTCAGTAACTGTCATCTGTGAAGAAGGGTGCTCGGGCGGGCGGGGGGCAGTTGCCCTCATCCTGCGGCCCCACCAGCTCCCCGTACTCGCTGTTGTAGAACACCTGCCCTCCCCGTGCCCCCCGGTCTGGCCGCCGCCGCCGCCCTTGAGTGTCAGGGTGCTCCCTGGTCACGTCCACGTTCCGGCCCGGTCCTTTACAGCTGCCGAGACAGGGAAGGTGATGGTCAGTAAGACAAGAAGAGAAGAGGCACAGGACCCCAGTCGGGGTCTGGTTGGAGTCACCAAAGACACGACCGGAGCTCCAAGCGAGCTCAGAGCCCTCGGAGACACAGACCTGACTTACACAGTGAACCGGACTGACGTGAGGGTTGGCAAACCCTGGAGCTTTCTCTGTCCCCAGCCTGGGCACGTGGGACGACGGAGAATGCCCACCTCGTGCCCCCAGACCTGTTTCTCTCCCAGACTCGCCCATCTCTGTAAACGCACCACTCCGTGGCTCAGGGCCCTGGGCATCATCCTTGCTCTTCCCTTTCCCCAAACCCCTCACATCCAGTCTATCCAGAAGTCTTGTCTGTGCTGACTCCAGAATGGGCCCGAGCCCCTCTCTGCATGCCCTGCCCCGGTCCAGAGTGAGCGCCCAACTCTGACGCTCTGCACTCTCCTGGCCCGTCCCTCTTCTCCCAACGCTGCTTCAGAGATCCTTTCTGCCAGAGAATGTCCTTCTCCCGACAGATCCCCCAGTGGCTCTTCATCATTCCCAGAATGAGCACCGAGCTTCTCACCCTGAGAGAGGTGCCAGCCCCCACCCCTGCCTCCTCCCCGACGGCCGTAGGATGCTCCTACTTAGCTCTCACTTTCTTTGAGATTTAAAAAAATTTTATTTATTTATTTATTTATTTATTTATTTATTTATTTATTTATTTGAGAGAGAGAGCACCAGCGGGGAGAGAGGCAGAGGGAGGGAGAGGGAGAGAGAGAATCCTCAAGCAGACTCCCCACTGAGCGCGGAGCTGGGGCTCATGACCCTGAGATCACAACCTGAGCCGAAACCAAGAGTTGGACGCTTACCCAACTGCGCCCCCAGGTGCCCCCTTCTTTGAGATTTTTGAAGACCTTGCTTCATTTCTTCTGATTTTGTTTTTGCTGTGCATGGTGCTCAGCCTGGTGCCAACCTTTTTTTTTTTTTTTCTTTCCTTCATTAAATGACTCAGCCTTTTTGCCTGAATTCCAGAATGTTTACCTTGAAAATCTAACAGTTCAACTCAGATATGCAGCCAAGTCTACCGCTCTGGGGTAGTTTTCCCAGGCCCTCTTCTGCGATGTAGATTCAGTTCTTTTATTTGAGAGAGTCCCTTGACTTACAATTTTAAAATATTAGTTTTGTTCCATGGCCAGCATTGTCTCCCTCGGAGACTCCAATTTTATATATACTGGATCTTTTCTACTCAAATATTGCACTAGTGTACTTGCCAACTTCGTTTCTGGTCTTCTTTACCTTTTTATTTATTTTGGTTTTCTTTTCTTTTGTCTCTTCATGTCCACCTTCTGTGTCTTTCCCCGTAAGGGAGCATTGATTGTATCTATTGATCCTTGGGCCTCCCCCGACCCTGGTCTTGATTTTTGAGGGGATGTCTTTTATTTCAATTTCTTTCCTAAACGTAGTCAGCCACCATTTGATACCTTCGCACTGTTCATTTCCATTCTGAATGTTTGAATTTCCGACTCCTGGTGCAGCTCCTTGTTTAATTATGTATTTAATTCACGTCAGAGTAGTGTATCAGCTTTTCTCTGCTTCATTTTTTTTTTTTTTTTGAGTGTTGACAGCTACTGAAAAGTTTTCATTCTATTTTTTTTTATTCTTATAATAACTGTATGAATAGTGTATGGATATTTTTAAAATTTTTAAAAAAGATTTTATTTGTCAGAGAGAGCATGAGCGGGGTGGGAGGGGCAGAGGGAGAAGCCGGCTTCCCGCTGAGCGGGGAGCCCGATGCTGGGGCTCGATCCCAGGACCTAGGATCATGACCTGAGCCGAAGGCAGACGCTTAATGACTGAGCCACCCAAGCGTCCTATGCTTATTTTTTCTGTTCATGATGATTCGTGCTGGGATTTCCAGGACTAGAAATATCTGGTTCTCCTATGGAAGGGGCTTGGGACGTGGGTGGCTTTGGAGGCTTCCTCATTTAGCCGTGCTGCATTAGACCCACATCTTTGGCATCACCCTGAATTCCTTCAACTGCATCCTTCTTTGCAAAGGCTCCATTCGTGTTATGGTGTTGTACTGCCACCAGGAACCAACCAGTCACTTTGCTGGGAGTGCTGCCACGCAGCCATGCCGACCTACCACAAGCCGAGGGCTTCCAGATCTTCCTCTTGCCTACACACTTGGAGGAGACGCCACCCTGCAGGGTGTGGATGTGGGATCCTGTGCGGCCGCTGAAAGGGCCGGATGAATGACCTGAAAGTGAGGACACTGTGGGGTGGTTCAAAGGAGACGGGAAAGGACTGGGCAGAGAGACCCCCTCCTACTTCTCCCCCACAGAGCCATCCAAGGCACATTCTATCCTTGCACCTGTTTGGAGACTGTTCCACACGCCAAGCGAATGCAGGTGCACCTCTCAGTGGCTGGTCATGATGTGTTTCCAAGGGAACCTGTGTGGACAAGAGTACTTTCTATTGCTGCTATTGTGAGGTGCAGTTTCTGTAATAAACGGTTCCCTTGGGTGTGGATCTGTCTTCTGGATTCTTGCTTCTGGAGGACTCTTATCTTCTGCAACTTTCTTCTTCCTTCAGCACTAAGCGCTCGCATCCTGCTCACTGGCCATTCAGAAGCACTGCCTTCCCCAGACGGCTGCCCCTGGAGCCTCCTCCACCAGACCTCTGCCTCCTCCCTCATCTCCCTGGTTTGTCCCAAGGACCTCGAGATACTCCTCTCTCCCGGGCGGGCCGCATCTTCCTTTCCTTCCGCGTGACTCAGGCACGGCTCTGCTGGTCCCAGCGCTGGGTTTCCTACTCACGCATAAACTTGAGTCTCTCTCTCCTGCTTATGGCACAGGTGTGGGCTCTGAGGGGCCTGCCTCCATGGGCTGTCTTTATGAAGACGTGTGGAGATTAGAACTTAAGTAGCAACCATCCCCCGGCTCACCCTCTTACTGAATTACCTTTTTTTTTTTTCTTGAGATATAAAATACTGTTGGGTAAAGAAACATTAGCCAGACACTATTTCAAATAATGCAATTAGCATTCATTTTCCAAAACTAGGTTACTAACAGAGATCACCCGATGGGTGATCAAGGAGGCCAAGATGCACGGTACAGCTGGGTATGTGCCCCACAAACCACCAGCACCCACAGCAAACACACTTTTTGTAGGCTGCTGGAAAAATAACCGCTAGTTGGTTCAGCTGCAGAGATCATAAACACACCTAAGAATCACATCAACTATCCTAACGTGATACAAATAAATACTTATGGTCTCGGGTAAAAAAAACTCAGTGACAACATCACACATTGATTAAAAAACAGCACAGGCAGAGGCCAGGATTCGTTCCGGAAAACTGTGTCGGACGACCCCAAAAAGGGGCTCCCGACAAAGACACAGATCAAGAGTCCCATGCTTTACCGACTGAGCCAGCCATGCGCCCCATAGGTTCTGTCATTTAAACAGCTATGTGCAAGTTGACTACTAGAGTAAGTAGGTAGACGTTTAATTATTTCATCTATACCCTTAAAAGATTAAACATTCAGGGCTTTTTTTGGGGGGGTGGCTATCTTCTTGGACAAAGGGAGGTCACCCTCTGTACAGGTATGTGAGGATTTCTCTGTGACTGCATTCGTATCAAAAAAGGACACCAGCCAGCTCCAGGTCACATGATCTGTCTGGCTCCTGAGGCCTCAGAGCTCAAAGGGGAGCTTAAATGGGAGGTTGGGGGAGGGTGGGTCGGCTGGGGATGGTGGTGGCACCCCCTGGCTGTGGGAGGGGTGCGTAGGCACAGTGGGCATGCGAGATCATACTTGGTTCACAAAGAGGTGGCCTCTGAGCACCTGTAACATGGAAGGGAAGTGTGGGGACCAGCACCAGGTGTGCTGGGCCAGGATGCTGATGGGGGAGGGGGCTTCCCAGGTGGCCAAAGGTCTTGAGTCCCAGAGCAGCTTGCTTTAAACACCCAAAAAGGTAATAAGAAGCCACAAGAGGTTTCAGGTGAGTCAGTGATGGGCACACACAGGCCCAGCTTCCCCGTCCCGGCCCCTCGCAGGGAAAGAGGCTCTGGAAGCCTTACCTGAGCCCACTTTCTTGTCTGTACCTGCCCTCCAGCTGCTCAAACTCCTCGGAGGCCAGCACCATCCCACTGTCCGTCTGGTTATCCTGTGCAGAGAGAACAAGCCCGTCTGCAGGCAGCACCCCCTGCACCCCCCAGCCAGGATGGCGTGGCATGGACCTTCTCTGCAGGCCTGAGACCCGCCCTGTGGAAACTGAGCAGAAAGCACGTGTCCATTCCTCGCTGAAGCATGCAGGTGAGGGTCACACACCCCTGCCAGGGAGGGAGAAACTGAGGCTCAGGGTGCAGGCAGAGCAGGAACACAGAGAGAAACAGGGAGCCTCTTGAAAGAATCTGGCAGCTCATGGGGTAACAAAATGGTCCTCACGCAGACACATCCCACATTTAGCAGGGCTCTGTTGCCCTTCGATGGTGCATGACTTGGCATGGTTTTCGTTTTGCATGACATGGAGGGGAACAGCACTCTTGTCACAGCTGGGGTCCCCCCAGCATCTCCATCTGCCCTGGGGGACAGGAGCCGGGGACCAGCAATCGCTGAGCAGGCCTGTCTGCAGGGAGGCCGGGGCGGGAAGGTTCCAGGCGGAGGATGAGTCTGTGCTTTTGCAAAATGGACCCACGGGCTCCAGCCTCCCAGTGCCCTGAGAGGTCCACTCTGCTTGAGTAGATCTGAGAACACCGCTGTGTCGTGTACCCCGTACCCCGGGCTCCTCCTCGAGGGACACCGTCCCCTTCTCTTTGGCCACATGGCTTGGTGGCCACCAAAGGGAAGCCCTGACTCAGGCTAATCCAAAGATAATCACCTGGAAGGAGAAGCTGTCTTTCCATTGGGTTTCTCTGCTGTGTGGAGGGGAGACCGGTGTGTGTGAGGAGGGCACGGGGGAAAGCAGCTGAGAGATGGTGGCATCACAGGGCCACACAGACCCCAACATGCCCGACCGGCAATCTGGACTTGACATTTCCTTTTTTTTTTTTTTTTTTTTAAAGATTTTATTTATTTATTTGAGAGAGAGAATGAGACAGAGAGAGAGCACGAGATGGGGGAGGGTCAGAGGGAGAAGCAGGCTCCCCGCTGAGCAGGGAGCCCGATGCGGGACTCGATCCCGGGACTCCAGGATTATGACCTGAGCTGAAGGCAGTTGCTCAACCAACTGAGCCACCCAGGCGCCCCAACGATGGACTTGACATTTCAATGTGGTGCCCCTTCCTGAGCTGGTTTCCCCTGCTGGCCTCCGGAGGTCCTGATACCTCCTCCCAGCAGAGAAAACCTGACCTGGGGTGCACAGGCCCAGCTCCCCACTTACCACAGAGGCCTTATAGGTCGTCGGGGTCATGGGAAATTCTTCGAACGTCTTCATCCTGGAAGAGCCCTGGGTCTGAGTCCCTCTGGCCAGGCACCCCGGAAAGGACACACAGTTGTAGTATCTGTGGGGAGAAAACAGAGTGCTGAAGAAAGCTCTCTCCACCTCTCTTTCTGCCCCCTCTCCTCCCAGAAGGACCCCAGGCCTGGGCTGTGAGTATGGGACCTGGGTCTGAGTGCTGGTCTGAGTTCCTCCCGGGGGAGGGGGCGCTGTCGCTATCCACTGCTTTGCCCCCCTGTGCCAGGATGTCTCCTCGCCTGTGCAAGAGGAGAGCGCCTCCAGGGAAGGGTGTGGGAGGTGAGTGGAGCACACCCAGCCTGGGTGTGGCATGGGGCTGGTGAGATGGGGGGGCCTTCACCCCAGAAGGGGGCCCTCTGTGCAAGCCGCCACCTGGCCTGTGTGCGCGGGGCCGTGTGTGTGCATGTTTGCGTGTGCGCTGGGGTGGCTCGTGGAAGGAGCCTAGTGGGCACCCTGTCCCCCAGCCCAGCCCTCCCCTCCGCTGGGGCACATGGGGTGGCAGTTCTTGGAGTCCTTCTCTCGGCAACCCCATTGGGAATGTGAACGGTCTTCCCGGAGTGTAAATAGCTGTTGGCAAGAGACCTCGGGTCTAGAACTCTGGGAACTTAAGCTATGTTCTAAATCCTGAATACGGGTGAGTGGCTGGCCCGCCCTGCTCCCGGGACCCCAAATTTCAAATTTGGGGAAGGGGCTTTTGGGGGCCGTGAGTGCCCGAAGCAGAGGAGGCTGCAGGGCAGAGGGAAGGTCTGAGGGGGCACGGAGGAAAGCGAAGTCACAGGCTACATGGTCTTGGAGGGGCCCCAAGGCTCGCCAGGCCCTCCAGGGAGCCCCAGACCGAGTACTGTCATTTAAAAAACCACTGTGCTCTTTCAGTTGGTGTACAAAGATCTCTCAAGTCCTTGTAGTTTGCTGGTCCTTGATGACTGGCGGGAATAAAATAGACCGCGTCCAAGCTGCTCTCTCCCTGCCCCGGGGGATCCCGGCCCCCGGGCAAGGGCGGCTGACCTGGCGGCCAGGCTGTGCCGGTGAAGGCTCGGTGGGCTGTCCTCGGTGTCGGCCTCGGCCACGTGCAGGGCCGTGGTGGATGCTTGCAAGAAGCTGCCCTCCTCCAAGCTCTGAGAGCCGCAGGGGGCCATGCAGTCCTCCTCCTCCTGGCAGGAACGGCAGAGGCCGCGGCGGTCAGAGACCACCATGCCCCCGCGGCCCCCACCTCCGGCCCCCACCTCCGCGCTCAGGACAGCGGGGCTCCTGACTGGGGAAGTTCTGCGCTCCAAGGTGCTCTGGGGATTAAATGAGCCTGCCTGGCAAATTCTCCCAACAGGTACCCCACTTACAATGAGGGAGGTGCGGCAGGGGCAATCCCAATCCAGGGTCCCCTCTTTTGGGGGCAGACTTGGACTCCCAAGTGCTGCAGGCAGCTCCTGCTCACTCCTCCAGATCCCAGAGCACCAGGGCAGACCTGAGCTGGCTGTGCTCCCTGCACGGCCCCCTCCCCGGGCACCCCCCAGGGAGGGAGACGGAAGTCAGGGGTGGGTGCGGGGGGCGGGGCTGTAGGAAGCAGAAGCGCAAAGAGGAAGGTGGAGGGAGGGACACACCATCCTTCAGCTGGAGACAGGGGCTCCTTGCAGACCCCCCGAAGACCAGCCTGGGGCTCCTCCTGGCCAAAGACGGGCCCTGGTCAGCTGCTTAAGGGCCCTGGGGCTGGGGGCCAGAGGTTGCTGCAGCCCGACCGGGAGGACAGAGGTACACTTACCTGTCGGCCCCCACCCTGCAGCAGGTCCCCCAGGATCTCCACCAGCTCTGAGAATGCAGGCCTCTCTTTGGGGTCTCCTGACCAGCAGCTCAGCATGACGCTGCGTCTGTGGGTAAAGCTGGCTGCTGGCCTGTGGTCTGAGCACGCCTGCACCCTGCACCAGCAGACCCCAGCTCCCCTGCCTAATCCCGGTCCCTCACAACCCTCCACCAGCCCACCCAGTCTCTTCTGCCTGGGGGTGGGGGGAGGAGAGCTGTCAATGGACCAGTGAAGGGGTCAGGGGTGGAGTAGGAGACTTCATCTGCAGGTCTCTACCCCAACCCCGTGCCTGCAGCCCCTCCCCATTCCTGCCCCCTGCCTGCATACAAGACCCCCCACCCATGGCAACCTCCCTCCCCCTCCGACCCCCCACCACCAGCAGAGCCAGCAGGGAAACTCACATGGCAGTGGTGGCCAGCTCTGGGGCTCGCATCCGTGTGCCCTCTTTCAGCCTCTGGCAGAACTCCTCATTGATCTGTACTCCTGGGTAGGGGGAGGCCCCTGATGGCAGAACAGGATGAGGTAGGGGTGAGTGGGGAGCAGACACCTGCTGCCCAGCCCAGCCCCCCAAACTGCCTCTCTCCTGGCCCCCTATGGCAGGGGGCTGGCCCTGCTGCTCCCAGGCCAGGGTTGGGGCCGGGGGCGGGGGTGGCCAAGGCACTTTGTCTCCCAATGATAGTTCTTCATTTGGTTAAAAGAGGATGATAGATGAAAACATGGGGGATCACCAGGGTCGGGGAGCCACACTGAGCCAATCAAGCCAGGCCTGTCACAATCACCCTTCTTCAGAGACACCCTCCCTGGCCATTCAGTTGAACCCCTTCCTACATCCCGTGGCTTTGCCTGCCAACACACCCGGGACCTAACTTGTCCTAGCCCTGCAGCACCTGGCCACAGGAGAAACAGCCCCAAAGAGCCTCTCGGTCCCCCTGGGCCCCCGAGGGCAAGCCGCACGCAGCAGGGCGATCCTCGTAAGACAAGTCACGCTGCTCTCTCGCTTGCTCCAAGCCCTGAGTGGCTCCCCTGGGACTCAGAGTCCGGGTCCTCCCCCTGGCCGGCTTGCAGGGGCTGCATGGACCTCCCCTCCGCCCTTGGCTGCACCTCCTGACTCCCCCTGCCCACGCCCGGCCCACCGCCAATGGGCGGGGACCAGGAGCCTGGCTGCCCCCTCACCCTGGCCTGCTGTCTTCCCCAGCGAGCCCCTTCATTAGCTGGGCCCTCCCCTCCAGCTCACACACAGCCCTGCCCTCCCTGCGCTCTCCAGGCCCTTGTGTTTGCAGTGACAGCATTCATCCTGGTGGATCTTTGGTGCTTTGCTTCTCCGTTGGCTCACTGCCCGGCTCCGGCCTAGCGTGGGGGCTTCACCCTGGTCCCAGCGGGGCCCAGGGGCCCACGTGGAGCTCTCATAAGTAGGTACACCTGTGTGTGAGCATCCAGTCTCCTCCGGGACGCTCCCCAGCCCTTGAAGGCAGGAACGGCCTCCCCAGTGACAGGTTGAGGAGGGGGCTCATCCAGGGAGGTGAAGATCTGGGGGACCCATGAGGCCTCTCCTCTTGGGACCTATGCTGATCCCAGGGACTGCCCGGGAAACACAGGCCGTGCCCTGTCACCCGTCAGAGGCCAGAGCACACCACCCTGCAGAGGTGGCGCCAGGGGGGCCCATGGTGGAGGCAGAGGGGAGAGGTGGAGGGCTCTTGGACCACTTGCTGCAGGTGCAACAGCTCTGGGCCATCTGGCCCCCTGCTTCAGAAGGGCAGGTTGCCGTGACCAGCAGCCTAGGATCCTGCCTCTCCCCTCCCCCACAGCCTGCCCTGCACTTACCCAGGGAGAAGATCTCCCAGAGCAGCACCCCAAAGGACCATACGTCACTCTGCGTGGTGTACACCTTGTCAAAGATGCTCTCAGGGGCCATCCACTTCAGGGGCAGCCGGGCCTGGGGGAGGCAGAAGGAAGCACGTCTCCATGGAGGGAGGGAAGAGAGGGAGAAGGCCAAACACGTGGGCAGCCCCTTCTCTCACCCCCAGCCTGCCCAGAACTCTGGAGCCACACCCTAAGAAAGGCCTTGGGCCGTATCTGCCCCTTGTGTGTTCACAAGACTCTCACAGTTGGCCCCCACCCTGCAGGTGCCAGGTGTCTTCCTTGAAGGCTTCTGCCCTGCTGCTCTCCTGGGTTGTCTGGGCCCCTTTCTTCCCCTGTGTGCTCTTGGGGGGCACTTGGAAGCCCTCCTCCCCCAGACCCCAGGCCTAGCCTCTGGAGGAATCGGGACCCTGCACCCCCTCACCATCCCCACCTCAGCTTGGTCCCCACACTGGAAGCCGGGCATCACTTCTGACCGCTTGTCCTGGGGCTCATGATGTGCCTTCCCCATCATCTGTCTCTCTACCTCCTGGGGCCTCTACCTGGGAGCCCTGAGGGCATCTGGCCCCTCCTGACTGGCCGCCGCCTCCGGCCCAGCACACCCCCTCCTTCTTCCTCACAGCCTGCAGAGGGGGCTTCTGGAAGGTGCACCTGACTCTCCCATCCACCCGCCTCCACTCAGCCATGAGTTAGAGTGAAGGGCAAAGGCCTTCCTCAAGGTGGCTAGGCTGACAGGGTGGCCCACCACATCCTAGACCCATCCTGCCCATTGTCTCCCTCTCCAAGCCTCTTCCTTCCTCCTCCGGGGCACAAACCCCCAATTGGCTTTGAGTGTTCATTCAAGTGCCAGCCTGGCCACCTCTGAGCACCACCGATGAGATGCACACTGCCCCCAGCACCCACGTGCCCTTCTGTGACTGCACCATGCAGGGTCCACCTCTGATGCCCAGCCCCTGCAGGGCAGGCATGTGGGGTCAGTCAGCGTCTGCCCCATGGACAAAGGCAGGGGGCCAACACAAGCTCCAGATGAAGCACCAGGGTCCCTGCCCGTCGGCTCCTGTCTTTACTCCCTGGTGGGGCCACTAAGGTCCCTGTAAGTGTGGGCTCTGCAACCTTCCATGGAGATGGCTCTTGGATGGGAGATCCGTGCCCCCATCCCGCCCTCCCTCCATGGCCTGCACTCACACTGCCCTTGCGCACGTAGTCAGGGTCTTTGTAGATGTCGCGGGCCAGGCCGAAGTCACAGATCTTCACCACATCGCTTTCTGACAGCAAGATGTTCCGAGCGGCCAGGTCTCTGTGGATGCACTAGAAGGACGGGGAGGGGCGAGGGGGTGGTCAGCACCGGTCCCCAGGGCCCACCCATGCCTGAGCCTTGCTCTTTCATGGGGCGATTTCTATGCTCCCCCAGGACTCTCCATGGAGAGGGCTCATGGAACTATGGGGACAGAGAAGGCTGTGGGGTGGGACAGATTCCACATTCCCCTGTCACTGACTAGCTACAGATCTCAGGAAATCACTTCCACACCCTGGTCTCAGTTTTCTCCTCTGCAAAGTGGGAGAAACGCGCACTGACCACGGCATTGCTGTGTGGCGAGCTAGGACAGGGCCTGCCTTGGTATGCTGGTGGTCTGCACCCTCCTCCCCTCTGAGGGGCCTGCTGGGGCAGTCACCTTGCGGGAGGCCAGGAACTCCATCCCTCGGGCCACCTGGAAGCTGTAGCAGACAAGGTCCTCCATGGTCAGCGGGCTCAGCCACAGGTCCTGGGCTGCACAAAGGAGCAAGACAGGCTCAGCGGAGGGCGAGGGGGCCTCTTCCATGGCTCCCATCTTCTACCCTTCCCCAAAGGGACCATGTGTTCACCTCCTCCTGGTTGGGCCCCTGAGGCCCCTGGTGCTAGCTAACAAGCATGTGGGCCCCCTCGCCTGCCCCTCAGCACCCACTCTCCCTGCAACACCCACTAACCACTCCCAGAACCAGGAATCTTGTTGCGTCCTTAGACCTTTGCACCTGCTACTCCCACCCTTGTCTGGAAGGCAAAGGCCTAGATAGCCAGTGATGCCCAATCAAATGTCAACCGTCTCTGTGGAAACTGTCCCTGTGGTGTCCTCCCTCCCAAAGGAAGAGCCCATTACACAGTCTCCTAGGTAAGCCCCTCCAGGAGGGCCTGAGGCCAGCTTCTCCCACAGTCCCCTGATCATGAGGCATCCTCCTGCCAGCCAAACCTCTTCCGGCAAGGGGAAGCCAGGCTCTTACCTTCTTGGACTGGAGGGGCCCGCCCTGCGCCGCCCTTGCCCATCAAGAGGCGGGAGAGGAGAACCCTCTCGCTGCCTCCTGGCCTCCTGCGGTCAGCTTTGGCCCCTTCCACCATGGCGCGAAAGCGCCTTCGCTGCTCAGGGGACTTCTCCTGCGAAGGCATAGAGGGGGTCTGAGGGGGGCTCGGCCACCCACAGCAGACATTCCACTCCCCCTCCCCCTCCCCCCAGCCCACCTTGGCGTCCTGCGGGCTCCCAGCAGAGCTTGGGCCACTGGCAGGGCTCCCACTTACCGCATAGGGGCTGAAGGCCTCCCGCTTGGCACGCAAGAAGTTGGAGAGATTGCCATACTTGCAGAACTCCACGATCACCATGAGGGGGCCTAGGGCAGGGCAGGAGCCAGGCGCTTGGTGACGGAGGGCAGGCCCGAGCGCAGGCACCTCAACAACCCCTCCCCCCCGCCCTCCAGCACCGCCCCGGCCCGGCCCCTCCCATACAGGCCCAAGAGGCCCCACCCACTAGGGAGCCAGGGGCCGCGAGCTCCGTACCATTGGGCTTGGTGCACGCCCCCAGCAGGTTGACTACGTTGAGGTGGTTACCGATGTGGATTAGGATCTTGAGCTCAGACATCAAGGCGCGGTGCTCGCTAGCTGTGGCGCCCTCTGGAGGGGACATGGGGGCTTCGCGTGGTGCTGGGCCCGCCGCCCCCCAACCCCTGCGCGTCCCTCTTCCCGGCCACTGGCTTAGCTAAGGCGCAGCTAGAGCTCCTGCCCGTGGGGGCGTAGGGTCCCCAGCTCGTCCCGCTCGCCCCTTGGAGGCTGATGTTTCCGGTGGGACTGGGAAGAATTCCTCAGATCCGAGCCCAGGGCCTCCATGAAGAACCCTGGGGGAGACTCTGGCTCTGAACGTCAGTTTCCCCTCCCGAACCACAGACCCACCAGCCCACCCAGAGTCGCTGCCCCCGCCAGTCCCACCGCCGCCGCCTCCACCCGCTGACCGCACACCTTTCAGCATTTTCACAGCCACAGTGTCGCAGCTGCTGCCCTTGTGGATTCCAAAAGCCGAGGCTTCCACCACCTTCCCGAAGGCCCCATGGCCAAGGACTCTCCCTGTGGGGGGCAGGGAGCCGGGTCCAGGTGAGCTCTTCAAGGGCGAGGGTGAAGAGGGACGGGCAGCAGGGGCGACCTGCCTGGAGGGCCAGGAAGGAAGGCCCAGGACGGGGAGGAAACTCGGGAGCCCTCTCGGCCAAACAGGAAGAGCAAGGAGAGCAGGAGCGAGAGAGAGAGGGCGAGGAGAGGCGGACAGGAAGGCCTGCATCCTCTCCCAGCAGGTGTGATGGGCCCGCCCTGCTCAGAGCAGCGGGAAGTGACCCCGGGGGGCCTGAGAACTGGAACCCTGGCTCCTGTTCTTAGGATGCACGCCCAGATGGGCAGGTCAGGCCAGGTGGGGGCCAGGCATGACTTTCTGGCCTGAGAATGGAGGGATTTCAGCACTTGAGAGGGAAGCGGTCTATGCGGGCCGCAGGGTAGGGTGGGGGGCACTGGGGGACCGCCTCACCGAGGTGCAGCCGCTCCCGGGGGAATTCCCACTGGCTGGCATCATAAGACAGGTATTCACACTGCTCCTCCAGAGGCACCTCCCCAGGGTCCATGATGATGGACAGGTAGCCCGTCTTGATGTCTGCGTGGGCTGGCTGGGGTGGGGGTGGGGACAACTAATTGATTTGGCCATACCACGGTCTTGGGTGAACTTTTCCCCAGGACAGATGGGATCTCCTTTGGGGCTCTCAAGCAAGGAGGGGACAGACGGACTGACAACCTCTGGTTGTGCAAGAGCCCAGCATGGAGGGCTCAGCGAGGCTTCCCAGGAGGTGAGACTGCCAGGTGAGCCAGGGCGGTTGAGGACCTTATTCCTTATCTTACAGGCTGTGCAGGGCGAACAGAGACCCCACAAGGAGTGGTTGAGAGGCTCAGTTGGGGGAGGAGAGCTCACCCTCCTCATGTTACAGAAGATGAAGAGGAGGAGAATCCAGAAGAAGACAGCGATGACCCCGGTGCCGACAAGGATCACGATCTCCATGCTGCCTTTATCCTCAGAGCCTGAGTGGACAGAAAGGGGCTAGTCTTGTGTGTGCGTGTGTGTGTGTGTGTTAGGGGGAGGAGGGTGCGCCCTGCGAGCAGCTCCCCTTCTGGTGGGCACGACTTGAGGGAGGTGGCTCTGAGAAGGCGGCGAGTGCGGGGCAGGGGGTGGGGCAGGTGGGTGGCAGGGCGCGGCGGGGGGCGGACCTTCCACGGCCACACTGGCGGAGGAGTTGACGCAGCCCTTGGCGTTGCACGCACTGCACAGGTAGCGGCCCGCGTCCTCCTCACGCACGCGCTGTATGCTCAGCCTCTGGTTCGAGTCCGCCAGGTCGATTCCTGCAGGGGACGGCGGGTTGCTTTGAGTTCAGAGGGCTCTGGGGCCTCGGCCTGGCGAGCCTCTGCACCCCCGCCCTTGGCCCGCGTCCACCACCCTACCAGACTCTTCCTCCAGCAGCCTCTCATCTTTGTACCACAAGATGCTGGGCACGTGCGCCCCGGCCACCGGGCACCTCATCTCCAGGGAGTCGCTCACATTCACCAGGAGGTCGGTCAAGTTCTGCGTGAGCCGCGGGGCTTCCAGGGCTGGGGGGTGGGGGCGTGGAGAGGGAGCTAAGTGGAGTTGCAGAAAGCAGGAGGGCGTGCGGGGCAGGGGCCCTCCAGGGCTAGGAGCAGAGAGTGGGGACGGATGGCGCCAAGCTCTAGGAAGGATCCGGTTTGGGCGCACGGGTGGGGAGGGCTGTGGACCTCCACAGCGGGGGTGGGGGGAGGACCCTCCTGCAGGTTCAGGCTCCCCGAGTGGCAGCCCAGGCGCGTTCTGGGAGGGAAGAAAGGCTCCTTGCACAGCGCCGCCAGCCCTCCCCTGCAGCCCCGCCGGCCTCACCCTGCACTGACAGGTACTTCTTGTGACAGTGCTTGTCATGGCTGCGACGGTCCTGCACCTCGCATACATAGTCGCCTTCGTGCTCAGGCGCCACGCTGGGGATGGTCAGGCTGAGCGTGGCGTGGCGCGCCCCTGGCTCTGCCTCCTCCAGGTGGGCGGCCAGAGGCGTAGCGAACAGGTGCACGTTCTTGCAGTCGAGCAGCAGCGGGTTCCCGTGTGCGTCGTGCAGCGTGGACAGGTTGAGACGGTACCAACGCAGATGCTCGTAGGTGTAGTTGTCTGCCCGGCAGCTCAGGCGCACGTCCTGGCCCTCTAAGGGCTCCTCCGATGGCTCGGATTTTATGCTGAAGCCATCGGGGATGTCTGGGGAGGCAGGAGGAGGCTGCCTGACACCTCGCCCAGAGTTGGCTCACCTCCCTGCCTGCCGTGGTGCCCGCTCTCCCTTTGCTCTCCCTTTCCCAACTGCCTTTGGACTCACTCTGCTCTCAACCAGGACCATGCATCACGTGTATCTGGGCTGGGTACCCCACCAGGGAGCCCTCTTCACCCCTCTTCTCCCCACCGCTGACCAGTGGGACCAGCTCCCTGAAGTCAGCCCCACTGACTCCTCCTGCCTCACCTTCTAGCCCTCTCCTGGACAAGCCCCACCCGGGCTGCCGCCCCTACTGCTCCCAGGAGCCCAGACCATCGGTGCAGTCCATATCAGCACACTTGGTGCGGTCCTGTCCCATCCTCCTCGCTGCTGACCACCTTCCACCACTGTCCTCTCCTGGAAATAATCTCATTGTTTCACTAGTTTGTGGCAACGCCTTGCTCCTGATTTCCTCTTGTCCAGCTGGCCACACTCCTTGTGGGGCTCCTGGGCTCCTCTCCCGGCTCCCTCCTGCAGAGGGTTCTCTCTGGCCCCGTGTCTCCTCGGGGTGCCCTCATCTACACTCCTGGGCCCAGTGACTGTCCGTCAATGGGCTTCTTAGCTTTCCTGGGGTCACTAGCGCATCTGAACATCGGAGGAAGCTTCCTGTGGTCTCCCCAGGAAGAGTGTGCCTGTGAGCCAACTGCTGTGTTGGGAAGGGGGCTGGAGGGTGATGGAGCCACAAGGAGTGGACGGACCCCAGTGGGGAGGCACCTTCAGGGTTAGGGGCAGAGTGTGCCCCTCCATCCCAGCACACCAGCACCCCGGCCCATATGCTGATGACCTCCAAATCTATCCCTCCCGCCCAAACCCAGGGTCCCAGTGCCTCACAGCATCAGAACTCACTGGGCCCCACCTGGCCTCACTGGCCTCTCCCAGGCCTTCTCTCCAGCCTCCTGTGCCCACCTGGTTCCCGACCCACCCAGGTCACTCACTGGTCACGTAGAAGTAGATGAGCCGCTCATCCTGGCCCACTTTGTTGAAGACCATGCACTTGTACATGGCGGACACGTTGGCATTCTGGATCACCAGCTTGCTCACCGTCTGCGCAGAGCACGAGCACAGGGCTCCATTGCCTGCCCAAGTTCCTCCCACCCTGACCGTCCTCCCTTTCTGCGCCCAGCAGCGGGGTGGGGATAACTGAGGCCCCGAGCTGAAGAGGACCAAGGCTCAGAGACAGCACCAGGAAGGTTCTGGTGGGGCGCAGGAGGCAGAGCCCTGGCACGGCAGAGGTGGCCCCTCTGGGACAATCAAGGACATGGCTAGGAGCAGCTGCGGTTGAGGCTGAGGTCGGAGGGCAACGTGAGGCTGGGCTAGCGAGGCCTCTGGGTGTGGATGGGCTCGGGCTGTGGCCACGTGGGGCAGGGGACAGGCCCAGTCTAGCAATGGGCAGTGCGAGCCAGGGCTAGGATTTGGGGTGTGGAGCAAGGCTGATCACTGCATGAGATCCTTGTGATGGGCCACTTTCCCCCCAGGGCTGCTCACGGCCCCTCTCTCAGGGCCCTGGGTGGTGGCCTGGGAAGAGAATGGGTCCCAGGTCTCCTGAAGGACTCTGGCCTGGGGAGTAGGACACTTGGAGGCAGGGGGAGGGGAGAGGGCCGCTGTAGGCCCTGCCTACCATCCAAACAACCCCCCCACCCCATTCCAAGCTGGGCACTTCCTGGCCAGGCCTGGAACAGGAAGAGGCTCTGGAGGTGTGTAGGAAAACAGGAAGTGACTGTAGGAAGTGGGTGCCTTTGTTCAGTCCCCTCCCCCGCCTGGCCTCTTCTAGGCATTGCCCCCAGGCTGGGCCAGCAGCTCAGTTGTCTTCGGTGGGGACCTGGCTGGCCCCAGGCCTGGTCCTCCCAGCCCTGGGGCCTGTGGGTGGCTGGGGCCCAGGGCCTGGCCAGGCTGCCTTCAATCTAAGCTTCCCTGTCTGGGAAGCAGCTGGAGGTCCCCACACCCCTCAGCCCACCATCCACAGGCAGGAAGGGGAGCTGAGGCCCAGAGACACTGCAGAGCGACTCTGCAGGCCTGGTAGAGGTGGAGAAGGCCAGAAGAGGGCCCCTCCCCCTCTCCCTTCTCCTTTCCCATCAGTGGCACCAGCTGGTGCGTGTACCTTATTCTTCCCTTCCACGAACTCGGTCCAAGTGTCCAGGCTCTCAATGGGGTTCACGGCATCCTGCGTGGTCACCTCTCTCCAGTCGCGGCACTGTGGCATGTGGTCTCTCTGCTGCCGCCGGCTGCTGGGAACAGCCTGTCCTGTGAGGGCTGCTGGACACAGCCTTCCCTGGTAGGCTCGGGGCTGCTGCCCGTCAAGCAGCTCACACCTGTGGCCCCACGGTCCCCCTCTGGCCTGCAGCGCCCACCATCCCTTACTCGAGATGTGCCCCTTCCTGCAAAGTCCACCTAGATCTCCCAGGGTCGGGGGGCAGCAGAGCCACCACTCCTGTTCCAGGAAACCCTCTCTCTCCTCCTTCCAGAGCTGCAGCCCCTTCCTGGGCTGAGTGTGACCCCAGCACCTTTGGTCTCTTGTTGGGACATGGGTCTCGGGTCCCAAGGGAGGCTCTTGTCTGCCTCCAGCAGAGCAGAGCAGGACCCCAGGGTTCTGTCAGGTGGTCCAGAGCATAAAGGTAGAGCATCAGAGGGAGGCAAATTTGGAAGTGCCTGGTGGTGTAGAAGAATCTCTTACAAGCCTTGGAGGCAGCAGGCCACCCCTACAGAACCTCCTCCTCTGACCATGCTGGGGTTATGGCCCGCCTCCGGGTGCAGCCGCTCTGTCTCCTCCTGGGGTTCCCAGCATCCATCCTTGCCCAGCCTGTGACCCTCTACCCTGCCCACAAGGATCTCTAGCTGAACGGCAAATGTGGCCCCCCACTCCTGCCCATTCAGCGCCCTTCACGGCTCCCTAGTGCCCTCCAGACCACTGGCCACCTTGGCACCCTCTCCCATCTCTTGCTTGTCCAAGCTGTCCCTGCTCGGAGCATACTCCCGGGCCTCTCTGTCCTGTTGGCACCCAGCTCAGCACAGAGGAGCACGGCCCAGGTGGGTTCTGCTGCTTACAGCCGTGACCTTGGGAGAGGCAGGTCTCTCCTCCAACCCTCGGTTGCCTCCTCTATAAGGGGTCATCATGAACAGGGCTCAGGAAAAGCTAACTGGGCATGGTTGGTGTGTTGCGGAACTCAGTACAAGGCTCATAAAACTAGCTCAGGTCCGCCCACTTGGAGCCCAGGTCCCGTGTCCTCTTGGATGATGCAATTATGGGTCCTGGGGGGCTTTATTTTCAAGGGGGGTTGGTGGGGGCTGCACCATCCCCAGTGTCTGGCCCAGCCCGACTCATGCGAGAGAGGGTCTGGGCCTTGTTCAGGCGAGGTGAGGTCAGGGATTGGCTCTCGTTGAATTGTGGCGGGGTTCGAGCTTAGAGCAGGGCCCTGGGGAGGGGCGCAGGCAGGGAGTGGGGGTCACGCCAAGGTTGGGGATGGGGCCGGGAAGCGGGGAAGGAACAGGCTGGAGTCACACTCACAGGCTGCGCTGGGCGAAGGCCTTGCAGGGCGTCCACGGCCGCCAGTGCCACTGGACGCTGAGAGGAGGCGGCACTCCATAAGCCGTGCAGGTGAGGGCCTGGCGGCTGTGGCGGGAGTAGGTGCTGGGGGAGGAGGCCTCCTTCTCGTGGATGTGGGGGGGCACTGGGGGCGGAGGCGGACGGCTGGTCAGCAGGCCCCGTCAGCACACCCCCCACCCTCCCCCCAGCCAGCCCCCCGGTGCCCCCTCCCCCATCCCGCCCCTGTACCGTTTACCACCAGCTCCAGGCTGATGTTGCGCTGTAGGCCGGCCGCGGAGTTCCAGAGGGCGAGGGTGTAGATCCCTGCACTGGCCTCTGTCACCTCCTTGAGCACCAGGGCGTGCGGACTCTGGCGCCCGGACACTGACTTTCTGTCCTTGTACCTGGCAGGAAGGGAGTTCAGGGGACTGTGTGGACCCCACTCTTGCCCCATCCTGGCCCTCTTCCCCTGCCGCACCTAGGCCCCAACAACGGCAGTAGAGGGCAGAAGAGACTGGCGCCAGAGTCCTGATGGGCCCGGCTCGAGCAAGAGCCACCTCTTGCACTGGACCAGGCGGGGGTTCGGGCTGGGGCAGCTGACTGCCGACCGGAGGGCTATGGGGATGGTCTGCAGGGTCTGCCCTGGTCTCACGGCCCCTGCAGGCTCGGGACCAGCTACAGCGCCCTGTACGCCCTGCCTCTCAGAGTGGTGTGTGCTGGGAAGGATTGTAGGTGTGGTCCCCTAGAAGCACAGCCTTAACCCTTGGGGGGCCCTGCCTCACTTTCTGACCCCAGCTCTGCCCTTTCTGGAGCTTTTCAGATACAGGACCTTCTTGCTGTCCTCACACTCCCACCTGGAGCCTGGGCACTCGCTGTCCCCACCTTGCTTGGATGCTCAGTCCTCTAGACACCTGCGTGGCTCCCTCTCTCCCATACACAAATACCCACTCATTAGAGCAACCGCCCTAGGAACCAGCTCCTGCCCTCTGCCCTGCTTCTACCTGCCTGCTCATGAGCACCCTGCTTTTCACACGTGAGTCTCTTGGCCATCCGTCACCCCCATGGAGCAGTGCAGAGACTGTCCCCCTGTCCCCGTACTAGGGGAGAGCAGTACATGCAGTCCTCAGTGCATATTCATATGCAAACAAATGCACATGCAAATAAACGGATGCCTTCCACCCCAAGGGGTGGCACCTGCCCAGGCCTGAGCTGGGAGTGCTACAAGGCAGCCACTCTGCAAGCCGGGCTCTACCTGGAAATGGTCTTTCCCCTGGTATTCAGCCAGCGGTGTAAGGGAGGGACCTGACTCAGCCGGGGTCCCACGGCAGGACAGGGCGGAGTAAACCCGAGGCTGTGTCGTCTGCCAGGCTCTGATGCAAACTCCTGAGTCCACCACCTGCAGCATCAGTGATCCTACACAAACCCCTTCACGGCCCTGAGCCCCCAGGGTCCCCAGTCTAAACACTGGGGAAACAAAATGGACTTTCTTGCAGGGGTCTTGAGGTTTAACTGAGTTACAGCATTTAGTGTGTGCACCGGGCTGGACACAAAGGGTGCTTTAGGAGCGGAGGACCAGCCTGTCTATCTGTCGGCTAGATCTCCATCCACTCATTTATAATCATCACATGACAGCCTAGAAGAGTCCCCTGTGGGGCTGTGGTGGTTACTAGTGCCCCGGGGCTGGTGTCTCAGTGGACAGTGGGCCCAGTGAGCACTTCTTGGAGGCAGATGTTGGCCAAATAAGCGGAGAAAAGCCAGATGCAGTGGGAATGGTGAGAGGCAGCCAGCTGCCTGAGCATCAGGCCTGGGCCAGACCCTGGAGGCAGCAGAGCTGGGCTCCCCTCGCAGAACAGCCTGAGTCCCACTGGGCTTGGAGGGCAGGGGACAGAGCCCCAGTGGTCTCCAGGAGGCCGACGTGTGAGGGAGGCTCCAGGCTGCCTCCTGCCCTCCCTAATGCTCGTCCTGTCCAGGTGCCCCCAATGGACCCCAAAGCCTGTGGCTTCAGAGGTAGGGTTATACCAGGTCCAGGCCCAGGGCCTCCTGAGGTCCCCCCAGGAGAAGCCTGCTGCCAGCCTACAGCCAGCACAGTGAGATCCCAGCTGAGAATGTCTGGGGCCTCCGCTCACTCAGCCCCAGGCTTTCCGAAAAGGTCATCCTGTCTGGAGGGAGCTCTCCCAGGCTGCGAAGGGCAGGGCTCCTCCAGCCAGCTGGGAAAGGATGACCAGCTGGGAAAGGATGACGCAGAGCCCTCCCAGGGGGCTCAGAGCTCAGGTAGGAACGCCCTGTCCCCTCCCCCACCTCTCTGTTTCCTCGTCTGCACCATGGGGGTCAGGCTAGAGTGTGACCTCCCAGCGTTGGGCCATGCGGAAGGCTCAGATGACCCAAGGGTGTGTGTGGGCGTACAATGCCAACCTGAGCTCTTAGCTTTTGGGGAACACCTAGCAAGGGTGGACCCCCCTCAGTGACCCTTGATACACCCATAGGGAAGGTCTTACTCTCAGGTCACAGGCCAGAGCTGGGGCTCTGGAGCCTGTGGGCTTTCTGGAAACTTGCTTTCTGCCACACAGCTCAGGCCTGCCCCAGAGCCTGGCTCTACAGCAGTCTGTGGAACCCCTGTGGCATCTCTGAATTTCTGGATAAGAGGGCCTGGGGTGGGGGTGGCAACCTGTTCAGAGGGAGGCCTGAGAAACCCAAAGCCATTGCTGCTGGGCAGGCCAGAGCTCCAGGACCTCGTCCTGCTGGCGGGGCCCTCGGAGATACCAAGCAGGTGCAGGGATCGGTTAGATGAAGCCCAGCAGGGTGCCCAGCACACCCACACACGACAGCCCACTGGCAGGTGCAAGCTTGCGCAGTTTTGTAGCAAGATAACTTTCCCTCTGGCTTAAATATTGTATTAGGTGCGCGTTCCTTAGAGTGTCTTCAGAGGAGAGGTTCCGCCCTGTGGTCTGTTCTCGTGCTGGGCCTAGGGGGTAGCGGGGGGCAGGGGCCAGGGCTGGTACCATTGGAACTCCGGCGGGGGGTACGCCGCTAGCTTCACGGGCAGCTTCACCAGCTCGTCTCCTGCCGTGGCCTCCAGAACAGGACCCTTGAGCCACTCGACGCTGATGAAGGGCTTTTCTGCCAGATGGGAGGCATCCGTGTAAAGCCAGGGCCTGGAGTCACTGACCCACCACTGCCCAGGGACGCCCAGCCATGGTCCGGCACCCCCAGCAGCCAGACGCCTGCAGACTGGGGCTCGCCCTGCCCTCCGGGGGTCCACTCATTGCCCTCTCTTCCCTCTGGCTAGACTCCACACTGCTCAGGTGCACCCTGACCTCTGACCCCCGCCCACACTGCACATGGACCCTTGTTCCCCAGGCCTGATGACTGACGCCCGGCCCAGCCCCAGGCCGTACCGTGCACAATGACCTCGGTGCTCTCCCGGAACCGCTGGATGCCGTTGTTGGCCTCGCACACATATGGGCCCAGGTCGTGCTGGCTGACGTTGTGGATGGTCAGGATGCTGGAGAGCTCTGTGTGAGTCTGCTGGGAGCGCCGCTCTGGCACCCACTTACCCCGCTCTGCCTACCCACACCCAGGGGAAGCCCAGGGTCAGAGCAGGTGGGCTCTGGCAGAACTGAGCACCAAGGGCACATACCCCAGCCCAGCCGTGGCTCTGGAAGCCTTGCACCCAGACCCAGAATTTTCCTTGGGGCAGCCCCTTTCATCAGACAGGGGCTCCTGGGGCAGGACTGGGTCCACACCTATTCAGAGGCCAATGTGCACCAGGCCGGGTGGGCGTGGGCAGTGATGGGGACTCCTGGGGACTGTGTGGGCATAGGGCAGGTGGAGGCAGTGACGGGGACTCCGGGGGATGGTTCCAGTATGGCCCTGCTGGGGCCGTCGCCTTCACCTGCTTCCCCGGATAGTCCCAGTCGAAGGTGACACCCGAGTTGAACTCGGCCCACACGGTGCAGTTCAGGACCAGCTTCTCCCCGACCAGCAGCTCCAGCGACTTCTTGGGGAATAGCTGGATGTCATAGAGCTCGTTGCCTGGTGACACATGCACAGTGACCCCCACGCCCCTCAAACAGGATGGCACACACAGCACAGGGCACGGGGTGCCCACTGGGCCCGGCTATGGCCCCTGCAGCCCCGTCCCTGGGATTTGGGGGATGCCCCATCCTCCTTCTGCACCAGACAGTGCGTACCTGTAATGTGCACGAGGAAGGGGTTGGATAGGAAGTCCTGGCCACCCCAGGTGGTCTCACACTGTAGGTACAGGGCCTCGCGCAACAGGGGCGTGGGCACACGCATGCCCCGGCGGTCGTCCCACACCACCTCCTGCCCGTCAGGCCGCAGGGCTGAGTTTTGCTGCGGGGACATGGTGGCTGTCAGTGCCCTCTCTCCTGACCAGACCAGGGACTGCCTCTCCCCGGGACGGGACAGGAGGGGGCCGGATCCCGGGGCGGGGGTCGGGGAGGAGGAGGGCCGTACCGATCGCAGCGTGACGTTGAGGCCCGGGATGGACACCAGGCAGGGCACCCACATAGCATCCTTCCTGTTGACCAGGAGCGTGTCTGGCTTGTTGATGAATGGCTGCTCCACGTCTGAGGGGAGGGGGCAGGTTGTGGGAGGGGAAGGCGGGGCTTCGACTCAGGTGAGGGGCAGTGGGGCAGCCCCCCCGCCCAGGCCCGCAGGCTGGGCCCCGGGGCTGCAGGTGCCAGATGCCCTCCAGGATCCAGGCCCTGCTTGTGCCTCCTGGGCAGCTGCAGGGCCAGGCGGCCTGCCCCCTCACCTCTCACGAACACGTAGGTGCTGGCGGCCGTGGTGCCCTCGATGCGGGCTTTGATGTACTTGTAGGAACAGCGGTAGCTACCCGTGTCGTTGGCGCGGGCCTCACGCACCAGCAGCACCTTGCAGTAGGGCCTGGTGTCCGTGCCCTCGCAGTCTTGCACAACCCCTGTGTCCTCGCCGTCCTTCTCCCCTGTGGCCGGCGCCTCCTGAGCCCCTGGCCAGGACCACTCAAGGGGGTGCTGCCCCCTGGCAGAGGACACGAGAGCACAAGAGGGGCCCCAGCTGCAGCCCCGGGTCACAAGCCTTGCCCGTAGCTTGTCTCACCCAGAGGTCAGAACAGCCCAATTTGGGGGCACACGCCATGGACCCAGTCTGGGGCAGGGTGCTCCCTGAGGCCCCTCGGGGCCTTTGCCTGGCTCCAAGGCCTACGTGGGGTAGGCTGGCCTGCAGAGAAGCCTGCTGATCATCCCCGGGCTGCAGGGACCATAATGGGTCTGAGCTCTGTGTGGTGGGCCTAGAGCCAGTGGAGGGTGGCTGGGGGTAGGTGTAGGGGACCTGGGGTCCATGCAGGGTAACATGGAAGGTGGGCAGGGACTGGCCTGGAGTCAGCGTGGAGTGACCCAGGAGTAGGGGTGGGCACAAGGTGTCTGCAGGGCCAGGGATGGTCCGTGCCTCCAGGCACCCACACCCAGGTGACCAGGGAGCCCCACTAAGCCTTGAGGCCCCTCTGCCCTCTACCTCTACCATCTCCTGGTTGGTAGGGATTCTCCATGGGTTCTCCTCTACCATCTCCTGCCTTGGCTTTCTCTGGTCCCCTTGGCCTGGGGAGACCCAGGCCCCTGTCCCCCCGGGCTGAGGACTGAGTACCTGCAGGAGATGGACAAGCTGTCCCTGGAGTCAATGACGTGTGTCTCCTCCGTGATGTTTAGGGTTGGGGGGGTCATGGAGTAGCCACTCGCCAGGCCTGGGGTGGAAGACAGGGTTAGTATGGCGCTGGGTCGTGAGATCACATGGTGACATGGTGACGTCAGTCGGGTCCTGATGGACCTTCCCTGCCCATAATACCATACTCTTCCCTAGGGCAGGGGCTGCCCGAGCTCTTGGCCCTGGGCCATACCTGCAAGGCCCCAAGACAATCAGTAATCTCTACCTCAGGTGCCCCTGGCCCTGGTCCCTGGCAGCAGACTGGTCCCAGCTCCCAGTGAACCCTGACCTAACCGAACCCCAATCTTTGGCCGCACATAGGCTCAGCTGCCAGCATGAAGCCGACGGGGGAGACTGCAGGCCTCATCCTACACTGGGGGAGACCTGGAGTGTGTGAGCCTCACATGTCTGTTGGAAGGCCCCTCCATCCTGCACTGTAGATGCACTGCGGCTGCTTGTAGGGGGGGCGTCTCGCACTGCGCGGCCCCTCCCCAAATGCCCAGAACCAAGGGCCCTGGCTTTCCCACCAAATTCTGCCCATGAGCTCACCCTCTCCCGGGTCCCGTGGCGTTTTCCTCATATGTCCTTGGCTCCATCGGCTTTTGTCCACCCTCGCAGCCCCCTCTGGCTGCCCTAGCTTCCCTCCAGTCCCGGGGCCTTCTTCCTTCATCCTTCCCCCAGGGCTTGACCCCAGACACACAAATAACCCTGCTTTGCTTGCTTGAAAGCCCTCCTGCCGCCCTTGCAGCTTCCAGCCTACCGTCCTCCTTCCAGCAGGATAGCGTGTGCCTGGGTGTGTGCATGTCGATAGGTGTGGGTCCTTGTGTGTGTGTGTGTGTGTGTGTGTTTGTGGGCGTGGACCCACATGTTTGTGGGGCTGGTGTGTAAGTGGTGTGTGTGGCTTTGTGTGCGGATGTGTATGCATGTATCTTTGACAGGTCAGTATGTGCGTGCCCATGGGCGTGTGTGCGTATGTGTGTGTGCACGCGCGTGTGTGTGCGTGTGTGTGAGATCCCGGTGGGGGTGGGAGCAGGCCTTGGGGGAGGCCTGGACCTGGAACTCTGGCAGATGCATCCTGCCAGGACCATCCTGAGACAACAGGAAGAGAGGACTGTGTGGCTGGAGGCCCAGGGCTGTGTCCTGTCCCTCCCCCTGTGTCCCTGTCCTCCTGGGGGGCACAGCCCACTATCGGCCCCAGCCCGCAGCCCTCTCCGGTCCCACAGATCCCTCCCCCATCCTCCCCAGTCCTCTGATGCCCATTGTCCTGCCCTGGCAGCTAATTGTGGGACGTGGATCCCAGGGCCTCCCACTGTACTTGGCTTTATACCACCCTGACCCTGACCTGCCCTAGGAAACAGTACCAGGATGGCACGTTCTGTACACCAAAATCTCATTTCTCGGCATCCTATGGACAAGGCAGCCACTAGCCAGGGCCTGGCCTGTCCCTCCCTTCCATGCTGCCTGCTGGCCAAAACTTTCTAGGCACCACAGCACTGTAGGTCAGAGGCAGAAGGTCCTCACTGAGCACCTAGTCCCATTGCACAGACAGGGAAATGGAGGCCCTCCTGCTGGACAGCAGCACCCATCTCAGAAGGCAACTCCTCGCCTGGCCGCTGTGACCACTGCAAAATCCCTCCTTAGCCTGAACCCAGAGCACCCCCTCCTGCCACCAGCTCCATCTTCCCCAGGGTGAGTGTTAGCCCTCCATGCACACCAGCCTCCACTGCACACCCCAAGGCTGCTGGGAAGGGGGTGCCCTGCAAAGGGGAGGCTCCCCTCGGGTAGTTGGAAGCTAGGAAGAAATCCCGGAGGGCACCTCTGAGTTGGGTGTTGAAGGAGAAATAGGATTTTCCAGGAAGTGGAAAGTGAATAAAGCCACAGCAAGCAGACAACTGGCCTCTGACAACAGAAGAGGAAGGACAGCGGGCTTGGGTTTGGACCTGCAGGGGATGAAATAACTGCCTTCCCAGTGGACCAGTCAGGGGTTAGGCCTGAGGCCAGTGTGTGGCCACCAGAGGAGAGGCACGGCTGCCAGCACCCATCTGCCCCAGGCTGAGGCCTGCAGCTTTGCCCTAGGACCCCCGGGGAGGCCGAGGGTCCCCTTCTCTGGGGTATACATCCTGGGTACATCCCTGGCACCCCTGGCACCCCTGGCTATGGAGCTGTGGCACATGTCAGCACAGCTTCCTTGCGCAGCTCCCTTTTGCTTCCAAGATGAAGTAGGGGCACGCCGGGACTCTGCCCACTGCCCTTCTCCCCACTTCATCTCCTGACACATCTCTGAGAGACACATAGCTCTCACCATTGTCCCAAAGGGCCAGGCTTTTCATATCATTTGTTTTTAAAGATTTTATTTATTTGAGAGAGACAGGAAGAGAGAGAACACGAGCAGTGGGGAAGGGGCAGAGGGAGAGGGAGAAGCAGGCTTCCCGCTGAGCAGGGAGCCCGATGCGGGGCTCAATCCCAGGACCCTGGGATCATGACCTGAGCTGAAGGCAGATGCTTAACTGACTGATTCACCCAGGCACCCCCAGGCTTTTCATATCTTGAAGTCTTTGCCTTCACCTATCTTTTTGCCCTGGACATTTGTACTTCCTTTCTTCCTGCGGAGCCCCCCCTTCAGGGCCTGGTTCACATGTCCCGTCCCTGTGGTGGGGCAATCAACGTTACTCAGGCAGCTTCGGCCTCCTGGGCCCCTGTTGTTAGAACACTTCTCAAACTGAATTGTGGTTTTCTGGTCACATCTGAAAAGAGGCTGTATTTTCTTCACCTTCCTAAGTTCAGTACAGAGGAGATGCACACCGAAGGTGTAGGGGATGAATTCAGTAATGGTAGGATGGGGGATGGATGATCAGATGAATAAATGGGTGGGTAGGTGGGAGGGTGGATGGGTGGATGGATAGTTGGATGGATTGATGGTGGGTAGATGGAGTGTGGATGGAATGATGCATGAGTGATGGGTGGGTGGTGGGTGGATGGGTGGGTGGATTGTGGGAGGATGGGTGGATGGGTGGGTTGGTTAATGGAGCGTGGATGGGTGAATGGGAGTGAACAGGTGGATGGGTGGGTGGATTGTGGGAGAATGGGTGGATGAGGGTGAATGGTTGGATTTTGGGTGGATGGGTGGATGGGAGTGGATGGGTGGATGGGGTGGATGGGTGGGTGATTGTGGGAGGATGGGTGGATGGGTGGGTTGGTGAACAGAGGGCGGATGGGTGGATGGAGGTGGATGGGTAGATGGGGGGGTGGATGGTTGGATTGTGGGTGGATGGGTGGATGGGAGTGGATAGGTGATGGGGGTGGATGGGTGGAAGGGTGGATGCTGGAGTGGGTTGATGGATGGCGAATGGGGCCTGTAGGATCTTCCTCCCTAGAGGCCACCATACCACCAAAGGAAGCATCCGCATCACTGTACTAAACAGATAGACCATCTGTTGTCCTTGCCAACACTTTTATCCATCTGTGCAAGTCTCTCCTTTTTTGCTCCAGTGGCCCTGTCTTCACTCACATCCACCAGGCCCTGTATGATCAGCAGACTGTGCTGTAGACCTCACTGTCCTCCTCCATCCCTTCTGCCTTAACTGAAACCTGGCTTTCTGAAGCACCACTGCCCCTTGAGGTAGTAGTGCTCTCCATGGCACATGCCTGGCAGCGGAGAGCTTCCTGTGGTCATCTCCCTTCTCTGATGGTACCACCTGCTCCCTGCTAAAGCTGTCATTAGCTGTTGTCCTGGTTACTTCCCCTCATTCTTTGCTCCTGGCTCTCCAGCTCCCGCCACCCCAACTCAGGCCATTCCCCATGGTTTCAACATCCACAGAGATGACTCACCAGTGTCCTGGCCCTTGTGGTCCTCATCTCCACTGTCCTCCCTCCTCCTCTCAGCCACTCACTTCCTGGGCACACCCTGTACCTGGTCCTTACCAGAAGCTACGCCATCACCGAGTTCCTGCCTTCCTGTGCTGCTCTCCCCATCCCCTCTGCCTCTTGCTAGGTGCCCTTGTCCGACAGCCTCTAAGTTCTTAAGCCTCATCAAAACTTCCAGTCCAGGGACCCCTCCCCATAGATACCTCTTCCTGGCCTCACCCATGTGGCCCTTGGCCCATGATTCGGATTGTTTCCTTGCCTCTCACCTTCCAGCCCAACACTGCAGCACCACCATGGCCCCCACTGGCTCAGCGTGCAGTGCAAAGCCAGAGCTCTTTCCCTTTCTTGTCTTGTAGGCAGACCCTAATGGGCCCTTGGACTGAAGTTTTCAGGGTGTTCCCTCCTCCCTCACTGTCAGCATTAATGAAGTAAAGCCATTAGATGGAGATCATCTTCCTACATCCAAACTCCTCACTCCCTGCCTGGGCCTTGGAAACCTTCTGACGCTTCCCCCTCCCAAGTCCAAACCCTCCATCTTCCATCCTATAAACAACCCTACCCCTCCCAAATTCCTTGATCCTCTATTCCCTTCCAGCCCTGCTCCCTTTCCTATTTCCCTCCACAGCAAAAACTCTGCTTGCTGTCCCCTCCTCCCACATTTGCTCATCCTCCCTCTGGGGTGCAGATGCCACCCCTGTTTTATGGAGCCATTGGTCAAGGCATTCCCATGACCCCCATGCTGCAGTACCAGTGGGCACTCCTCCTCTGCCACCTTTTGTGAGCTCACTGTCTCCTTGTCTTCCTCTTTCCCCTCTGCCCAGCACCACATGTATCTCCCCTAAGTGTCCAGATACCTCCAGAGTCTCTACCTCCTGTCCTTCTCTCAACTCCAGCCTGAATTATCCAGTTGCCATAGCACTTGGCCATCCTACAGACACCCCGGCTCCCATATTTCTGATGCTAAACTCCAGACTCACACTCTCTTCACCCCGCCCAAGGCTTCTCCTTGATAGCTCCCATCTCCTGTATGGGACCAGCTATGGATGCGCTTCTCCTCACCCTGTCTAACCACCCACCACCAAAGCATCCCAGAGCCAGCCCCTGCTCTCCCAATGGGGCCTGCCCAACTGCACTCAGCCCCAAAGTGGGGGCTCCTGGGCCTACTCTTACCCTCCT